AATTTTTAAGTTAATTTTTAAATTTATTTAACATTATTCTTATTAATAGTGTTACTCGTTAATTTGACCCATAATTCGCACCAAATATATCATATTTCAAATATTTGTGTTGAATGCAACAATATCTAATTCATTTGTGATCGAAATAGAAATTTATACATATGATTTAGTTGAAAGATTATTTGATAAAATTATGAGATTAGATTGCATTTTCGGATCAAATTTGAATTTTATAATCAATTCCAATGTAATTTAAATTTTATAATCAATTCTAATGTGAAAATAAGATGATATCCGAACAAATTTCAATCAAAATCCTTATATCAAATTTTAAACCATTCAAAATCCAATCTATTTACAAGTCTCCAATCATGGGAGAAGTGGCGAATCAATAAGCTGGACTTGGTTATGCAACACAAAAACTCTAACTCTTGGCTTGCCAATAGAAATTCAAGTGAGCTCAGTCACTAGAATTGACATAGCAGTGTTGCATTATCAGAAAAATTCCACAAGTTACTTGGAACAGAAGGTACGGACACACGTATACTTAGATTTCCTTGTTTGCCTAGGATTGAAATGGATTCACGCGGTATCCTATTTCGATTTAAATGTTTTGTTTTACCCTAAAATTCTTGACCGCTAGCTCTATATATATGAACATAGTAGCCAAAAACCCTATTCATCCTATCAAGTAATCATGGCTTCCTACACTCCAAGAAGAATATACTTGATCCTCAACTTAATTGTCGTGATCATCACCACCATATTCTTCTTCACGTTTCACAATCCAACTTCATCTAACAAAGGAGAAAAGATGGCGGGTCGAGACTACGAGCGATCAAGAATGGAGCATTGTGTTGGGCTCTTCTTTGATCCTCCACCACCTCCAAGATCCGATGATGAACGCATGAAGAGTAAGGTGGACAAGAATCTTTGTAGAGACATGCTTCGTGCGGTTGGTGAGATACATAACAAATGGGGCGAATTACCCATCAATTATATTGAAGCCCTAAAAAAAGTTCATCGATTTAAGAAAAACTCAAAGGCTCTGAATGAGTTTCTTCATCGAAATCATCCCAGTTATGGTTTCACCTACCAAGTGTAATTCAAAGAGTCGTATGTTATTTTTAGTGAGGAACTTGGAGTGAATCGTCAATCATACATATTTTCTTGTGTAGAATTATACCTTATCTGATGAAAGATGTAAATTTATATCAGATTTTATAGAGACGAAAACAATTTGTAGTTTTGGATTGTTAAATATGTGTTGCTCATTCGTGATGTTTATGTTTCTTATTTCAATTATTTGTGAAACGTTAATGCTTTGCTTTAGCTCCACAAATATCTGCATCAAGATTTTCAACCGCCCTTTTTATTGTCATAACCATCACCATGGTAATGGTCATCTCATCAAACATCCAGATACATCTAAACAAAGAAGAAGATAGGACTATGATATCAAAACATAAAAACTTTGGTATATTTTAATTAATGAAAAACTTTTAGTACGTTATAAAAAAAAAAATTTTAAGTATCGTAATGAAACCCAAAGAAAAAAATAAACATCTAAGGCCAACGTGACAAATGATCACAAGTGGAGTGCTGTGTGATGCTCTTCCACAGATCCTAGCATCATGATCTCCACAATACGGTGAATACGGAATTTTGAAACCGACTATGTGGCAACCATATATAGGAGTAAGTACATTTGCGTAAGTGCATCAACTTGCTTGACGAAAAAATGGCTCCCCTGTTTTGTCCGTCGTTCTCACCTTGAACCAGAAGCACCATTGTTGAGATCTCCTTGTTCCTTTCTCTTGTCTGTTAGAGATAGTTAGTAATGTAAAGAATCCCACATTAAAAATGTTGAAAGGGAATGTAAGGGTTTAAAAGGAGAAACACACAAATTTTAGAAATTTGGATGGTGGGAAGATTTAGAGGGAAGCTCCAAATATTTCAAATCAATGAGCCTTAATTAAACTTTAAATAAAATAATCTTTAAAGTCAAAAGATGGGCTTGAAACCTTTAAATAATTAATTATTTTTGTATTAATTAATTGCTAAATGTCTTTCGGTCCAAGAGTTGTGTCTCTTCTTTACATTTCTTTGGCCTAAGAGTTGTGTCTCTTCACTAAGGTATTATAAATACCTGTACAGATATTTCAATTGAAGTATATACAAAAAAACGTTTCTCTATTCTGTTATTGGGAGAATTTTAGAGTTTGCTATTTGAAATTTTGTTTGGCTTTGGCTTTGTTTTTTTTTTTCGGAAGGTAAAGTGTATTAAATAAAACAGAAATACCAAGGGTGATCACCCCCAAAATGTACAATGAAGTCACGTAAGACTCAAAAACAAACATCAAATCCAAAAAGCCAAGGCTTAAAAACACAATTCTGAAAGAGCTGCCCTAAGTAAGGGTATCTCCCCCAAAATTGTTGACAAGAGTACAATGGTTAACAAAAACAAAACATGATCTCAATTCATCCAACAAGATAGCAGATGCCCTGAGCAAGAGAAACTCCCATTGAAATGCATGGTAGCAGACCAATCCAGCCATTTGCAGTAGCAAATTCAGCGCCAACTCAACACACCATAGCAAGCCAACACACCAATAAAATTAGCACCAGCAACAATAGGTAACAAGCAGACAACCCCAACGAGCAAGTAAGCCAGAAAATATCGTACAGAAGTGAGGATGAAATCAGTACCAAAAAATCAGCCCAACACACCAATAAAATCAGCACTAGCAACAACATGCATCAAGCAGACAACCCCAACGAGCAATTACGCTAGAAAAAATCGTACAAAAGTCAGGATGCAAGGATAGCATAGCCAACAAAGGATTCCCAACAAAGCCATTTGCATTCCACATGGGTGATGAAAGGATGAGAAGGAACATCAGAGAACTTAGACCCTTATGCAAGAACTAGGAAGTTGCCATATATGAAATAACCACATGTTCAATTGAGAGGAATTGAACTTGGCCGAAGACATTCTGTCCCTAACTGTCTGCACAATGAGGTTTAACAAGGACTTGTAGTCTCTCACTTGGTTTTGATGGATTCTGTTATTCCGTTCCCTCCATATAAAATACACACTCACTGCCAAACAAAGTCTTCTCAACACACTCACCATGGACTTACCCTTCCAAATTTGGATCACATGACTTACCAGATGCTGCCAAGAGTTAAGTTGTCCCTGCTCACCAGTGAGCTGAAGCAAATTTCTCCATATGCTCCTTGAGTAATGACATTCAAAAAATAAATGAGAATGGGTCTCATCAGCTTGTCTACATAGAACACATTCCATCCCCATATTGTTTATATAAACTTGAGTTCTATCCTTTGTGCCAAGCCTTGTTCTAATGGCTAGCCAAAGAATAAAGCTCATCCTAGGAATAGCATGACTATACCACACCAAATGAACCCAAGGCACTTTAGGAGAATGAACTCTCACTTGATTCCAGGCAGAGATTGAGGAGAAAGTGTCATTTGGGGTAGGAATCCATTTAAAAACATCCCATCTTTGTTGACATGGTTGGTAGGAGGGCATGGTTTTTTTAATTTCCCGAAGCTCAAAGGTTCCTGTGTGAGGCCAATGCCATAGATTATTCCTTATAATGCTGCTAACCTAGAGGAATTTGTCATAAACCCAACAGCAACATAGTGGGGGCATAATTTCCTTAAGGACAGTGAATACAAGATCAAAGCCTTCTAATTTAGTGAAATCCTATTTTGCTAACATTGTCTCCTCTTAACCGAATCCCCGTTCTTCTTTTTTCGGCTGCCTGCCCACCTTCATAACCCCATTGTACCCTTTCCCTTTTTTACTTAGCTACTATGATTCAACCATTCCCTTTACTTTCCACATTTACTCCTCACCTCTGACACCAAAATCTCAACTCATACACCAAATCCCTCTCTCAGCTATTCCCCCGACTTCTAGATCTTTTCTCAAATCACCGGATCTGTCACCCATTTTGCATTAATGACCTACCCAACCATTTCCCCTCCATTACTAACACCCCTTAACTAACCTATTTGTCAACCTACATTCTGATGGATTCATTCAATGAGTCACCAAATCCAAAAAAAATCAAGATATTAACCCCTCTTTGATGTCCGTTGAAGAAGCAGGTAAAAGGAAATCCAAGGCCATAGCTCAGCTGGAATTACACAAAGGGGCACCATCGCCAGAGAATAACAGTCAACAGAACAAGGTCCGCCCAAGGAGTCTTGGAGCCAGGTTGTGAAGGCAGGCAAATGAGGTAACCCTCAAGAAGGAAAACCAGCTAATGGGGGGAAACAACCAATCAAGAGGTTAAAGTATTTCAAACCTTGCAAAGAAAATGATAGAATTGTTGTCAAACCACCATCAGAAATCAGAAAACAGGGATGCATTGTGTGGCAAAACTTCCTTGTAGGGTATTTTATAGAGAGAAAATTGCCTTATTCCACAGTTAGTTTCATTGCTCACAAGGTTTGGGATAGGAAGGGTTTACTGGAGGTCCTTGCAAATGGAAATGGATTTTACTATTTTTAGTTCATGGATGATGAATCCCAAACTAAGGTGTTTGAGGCTGGCCCCTGGTTATTTTCAGGGAGGCCACTCATATTGAAAAAATGGACTCCTGATTTGTTATTTACCAAAGAGGATCATTCTACCATCCCTCTTTGGGTCAAGCTTTATAATATTCCACTGTAATTCTGGAGTGTGGATGGTCTTCGCCATATTGCTAGTGCAGTTGGTACCCCATTGTATGCTGACACATAAAAAGAGACTTAACTTTGCAAGGATATGCATTGAGGTGAGTGCTGAAGACAATCTTGTGGAGGCATTTGATTTGAGGATGGCTATGGAAGACAAAATAGAGACGGTGGAAATAAAGGTGGAGTACCAATAGAAGCCTAGCATCTGTCATTCTTGTAAAGTATTTGGTCACAAAGAAGGTTATTGTTCACAAGTAGGTGCTAGTCACTCTTCTCATACAAAGCCGGTTATGAATAACACTAGCAGCAAGGACAAGGGGAAAGCCATTATAACCCCATTGGGGGATGTGGGAGGTGCCATGGAGGTTCCACAACCTGGGAAAAGCCTACCCCAAGTGGGAAATATGGATGCCAGCAGCAGCAGTGCCATCAAGTCTGTTAACAACCAGTGTCCAAATGGGCCACAAGATGAAACCCAGGTGACCACTAACATTCTCACTACTATAATTGTTAGTGATAAGAATCATACAGAGCAATCTGCGAAGCCAATTCAGTCCCCTAACAAATTTGGAAGTTTAAATTTGGAAGGAGGGGAAATTGTTGTGGATTTATCCACAGTCCCTTGTACTAATAGTGGTGACACTGCTATTAACATGAGACAAGTGAATGAGGTTGTATCCATTGGGCATGAACCTGAGGTTGAGAACTTGCCTGAAGGGGAACATAAAAAGAAGAAGGTAAAGAAGAAAGACAGTAAACTGGGGAAATGAAAGGTGTTGGAGCACCTCAAAACCAAAAAATCTCTATTATTATGTTAAAAGTATCTTGTTGGAATGTGAGAGGGTTGAATAAACCCTGGAAGCAGGGAGAAGTTAGGAAATTTATCAGGGATCAAAACTTGGACTTATTAAGTCTAGTGGAGACCAAGATTAGAAGCGTTAATAAGGATGTGGCTATGAGAAATGTGTATGGACAATGGGAGCATGTGGACAATTACAATTGCCACAACAGAAGAAGGATTTGGGTTGGGTGGAAACCTCATACTTTGAGAGTGAATAAAATCTCTGCTACTGAGCAAGTTATCCATTGTTTTGTTAATCACTTGGAGACAAATGACTCTTTTTTTGCCTCTGTTGTATATGGATCTAACGAGGAACAAGATAGAAGACACCTTTGGGGGAATCTGGTTTACCATGCTGGAATGTTTGCATCCTTACCATGGACAATTCTTGGGGATTTCAATGCTATTAGACACACTCAGGAATCAATGGGCTGCTCTGGTAGGTGGTGCCAGTCCAATGAAGACTTTTTTGAAGATTGTCTTCAATGTGCTGAATTAGTGGATCTTAAGTTTTCTGGGTGCCTTTTTACATGGAGTGACCGCAGAATTGAAGCTTGGAGTATTGTCAGGAAATTGGATAGGGTTATGGTAAATGAAGAATGGAATATCAGATTTCAACAATTAGAAGCTGTGTTTTTGCCACCAGGAATGTCGGATCATAGTCCAGCTCTGCTTAAGATTGGTCAAGAAATAAGGAAAAGAAGGAGTCCTTTCAAGTTCTTTAACTTCATGGCTGAGAGGCTAAACTTTCTACCTACGGTTGATCTGATTTGGAGGGAACCCATCCAGGGAACTCAACAATACCAGGTGTGCTGCAAATTGAAGAAAATCAAGGATTCCTTCAAGGCAAAGAGCAGAGAGCTTGGTGATATTTCAGAGAGGGCGAAGGAAGCAAAAGAGGCCGTGGAAAACTGCCAGAGAAGGTTAGCTACTGATCCACTTAACAATAACCTGAGACTTGAGGAGAAGCAACCTCTTGCCACCTACTCAACTGCTGCTAGAAATGAGGAATCCTTCCTTAAACAGAAGTCCAAGGTTTTGTGGTTGAAAGGTGATAGAAACACAAGTTACTTCTTCAAAACCATAACAAAGCGAAGGAATAGAAAGAAGATTTTATCCCTGCAAATAGAAAACGGTGAGCTTATTGAGGGAGAAAGGGCTGTTAAGAAGGAAGCTATTTCTTTTTACCAATGACTGCTAGGTACCAAGAGTCCTACATTAAACTCACAAGATAGGAGTAGATTACTGGAAAGCATTGTGCAACAGAAGTTATCATAACAACAAGCGTCTGATATGGTTAGGGATGTTACTTCGGAGGAGAGGAAGTCTTTTTCTCCTTTAATGACCACAAGGCACCTAGATCAGATGGTTTCAATGCCTATTTCTACAAGAAAGCTTGGCCTGTTATTGGAGGGGACATCACAGCTGCCATAAAAGAATTCTTCTCTAGTGGGATCCTGTTGAAGGAGTTCAATGCCACAATCATCACATTGGTTCCTAAGTCTCCTAATGCATCATGTATAGGGGAGCTTAGGCCTATTTCTTGCTGCAATGTGTTCTACAAAGCTATTTCAAAACTTATTGCTAATAGAACCAAAGGTGCATTTAAGGATATTATTAGCCTTAACCAATCAGCATTCATCCCTGGTAGAAGAATCAGTGATAACATTCTTTTGTCCCAAGAGATTATGAGGGATTACCATAAGGATGGAGGGTCGCCCAGATGCACTATCAAGGTGGACCTTATGAAGGCCTACGATACATTGGATTGGGACTTTATGATGGACACCTTACGTGCCTTTAATTTCCCAATTATGATGAGGAAGTGGATATGGTCCTGTCTTACTTTTACTAAGTTTTCAGTTAACATTAATGGCGAACTTGAAGGCTTTTTTCCTAATGCGAGATGATTGAGGCAAGGGGATCCTATTTCCCCTTACCTCTTTGTTATGGCCATGGAAGTGCTTACACTGATTGTTCAACATAACATCAGATCCAACAAGAAGTTTAAATTCCACTAGAGGTGCAAGAAGATGAAACTTTGTCAGCTAATCTTTGCTGATGACTTGCTGTTGTTTTGTCATGGGGATGTTAGCTCTGTCTCTACATTGAAGATGGTTGTTGACCAGTTTCAGCAGGTGTCTGGGCTACAAGCCAATCCTACCAAAAGTAATATGTTCATGGCGGCGGTCCAACCACAAGCTATGGAACAGATCAAGCTAATTTTTGGTGTCCCTGTAGGCAACCTTCCTATCAAATACCTGGGTGTGCCTATCATCTCTACTAGATTGAAATTCATTCACTGCACAACCCTCATTGAGAAAATTGAAAGTAGAGTGAAGGGGTGGACCAATAGATTCTTGTCTTATGCTGGCAGGTTGCAGCTCATCATCTCTGTCCTCTCTAGCATGCATATTTATTGGGCTGCTCACCTTTTCTTACCACTACAAGTTTTGGATAGAGTTGAACAAATCATGCGTGCTTTTTTGTGGAAGGGGTTGAACTCAAAACTACTGGGGCCAAAATTGCTTGGAATGATGTGTATAGGCCAAAGCAAGAAGGAGGTCTAGGGATTAAATGCTTGAAAATTTGGAATGCAACACTTATGATGAGGCATTTATGGATTCTTTTTGAGGACAAAGAGAACCTATGGGCCAAATGGATTCACACTTACCAGTTAAAGGGGATGAGTCTTTGGGAGGTAAGGCCATCAAGCAATAGTTCATGGAATTGACAAAATATGTTAAAGCTGAGAGACCGGATTAGACCTCACTTGATCCACACAATTGGGAATGGAGAGTCGACAAGTCTATGGTATGACAATTGGCACCCAAGATGCCCTCTTATTTTGAGTTGGAATCACAAAATTATCGCTGATTCTAGTTTACCGAAGGATGCTAAAGTGAGCAGGATTATTTTTTACAACAAGTGGCAGTGGCCGCAAACTCCTTCTACTGATTTATGTGATATTTCTTGCTCTATGCCTTCCTATGCCCCAAACCAGGCCAGAGTGAATGGTGTCAAGTGGGCTCCTACTGTCAATGACATGTTCTCTGTTGCGTCTGCCTGGGATGTCGTTAGGAACCCAAACCCAAAAGTGTCATGGTTTAAGCTGGTTTGGTTCACACAAGCTGTTCCTAGGTTGAGTTTCATTTTATGGTTGGCTATTAATGGGAGACTCAGTACTAAGGATAGGATTTTTAATCCTAGTGTGGGTGGGAATTGTATTCTGTGTAGAAGGGTTGTTGAAACACATGTTCATCTGTTCTTTGAGTGCACTTATTCTCACAGTGTTTGGATTCAGCTACAGAACATGCTCACTCAATCTTGGCAACCCAGGACATGGCTGGGGTTTATTGCTTGGGTTGCTCAAAACAGGAAAAGTAATTCTGCATTGACAGTGTTGCAGAAACTAAGTCTCCAAGCCACATTGTACTGCCTTTGGAGAGAAAGAAACAACAGGTTATTTAGGAATGAATTTAAAGATACTGAGTCTACTCTGCACAACATTTTGCAGATCATCAGGGATAGGATGGTGTCCTTGAAATTTAGGAACTCATATCATAATCAACGAGTGGCTCAATAGCGACAGTTACCAACCCATTGTCTTAACCTATGATTCTTCTTTGATTATACAGTCCCCTATTCATGGTGGCCTATTATTGCATTCTCTGTTTTCCCCTAGAGTTAGGATTCTACTGAAAGTACCAGTTGAAGGCCGACACTTTCTGTAGTAATCCTTTCTCTTGGTTTGTTGTTGTTCTCTTGGCTTACTTTCTTTTGTTACGGGTGGTGCACTGTCATGTAAGTATCACCCTCTGTTTTGTCTTGTATTGTTCTTTTATGAATATAGTTTACCTTCCGAAAAAAAAAAACCATATATAGTAGTGATTAATGCTATAAGGATTTTATTTGGGGATTTTATTTAGAGATTTAATGATGTGACCTCAATGTAATTATTGAATTAATTGTGAGTTCTAATGTTAGATGAAGTCTACAACCAATTCAATGGTTATACATCATTACGTCCTTAAATAAAGTCTCCAAATAAAGTTTAAATAACATTTCCAAACATTTTAGTATGGGTCTATACTGCATTTGGATGCACAAAATCGCTTCGTATATTATATATGAGATTAACTAGATAAATATCACATACAAATAATTTTAATACAATTTATCCGTACTATTGAACTATTTTAATATCACCAGGAAAGGTGGTATTACGGTCTACGTGTATTATATCACTATTTTATAATTTTTATCCTCAATCTAAGAAATATTCATGTGATAATTCTTTCTTTTTTATTTTAATAAAAATTACATAGACAACAACATTAATAATAAACAAATTCATATACCCAAAGTACACTTTTATACAACTAAAGTATGCTATGATAAACTCCAAGATGTTTAATTTTGTTGCTTGGAATATTAGAGGCTTGAATAAACCTTCTAAGCAGGAAGAAATTAGGAAATTGATTTTTGAAAAACATGCGGACCTTGTAGGCATTATTGAGACTAAAGTTAGAGGTGTTAATAGAGACACTGTCAAAAGGAATGTATTTAGGCACTGAGAGTCTGTTGATAATTTTCACAGTCACTATTTGGGAAGAATTTTGGTGGGATGGAATCCCAATACCCTAGAGGTTAACAAGCTCTCTAAAACTAAACAAGTGATACACTGTAGCGTTTTGCACATTCATAGTAGGACCAAATTTTTTGCATCTTTTGTGTATGGGGCAAGTGAGGATTAGGACAGGAGGAGTTTATAGTGGAACTTAATATCACAGTCTATCATATTTAGCTCACTCCCTTGGATTCTCTTGGGTGATTTCAATGCCATCAAAAACACCCAAGAGAGCCAGGGTGGCTATAATAGATGGTCTTAGGCTATGGAGGATTTTGAAGATTGTATACAAGGGGCTGAACTGGTGGAATTAAGGTACTCTAGTATCTTTTTTACATGGAGGAACAAAAGAGAAGGGGAAGCCTGCATTGCCAGAAAACTCGACAGAGTCTTTGTTAATGAAAAATGGACCTAACAGTTTGAGCACTCGAGGGTTGAATTTTTACCATCAAGCATATCAGACCATAGTCCTGTGTTAATCAAGATGGGAGAAGCTAATGGAAGAAGAAAGTGCCCTTTTAAATTCTTCAACTACCTAGCAGATAGAGAAGACTTCTTACCAACTGTTGCAACTATTTGGAATGAAGATATTCAGGAATCCTTTTAATTTAAAGTGTCCTACAATCTAAAGAAACTCAAAACCATACTGTAGGATAAGAGTAAGGAGTTAGGGGATGTGTCTATGAAGGTGAAAGAGAAGAGGGTTGCCCTTGGGAACTGCTAAAGAAGGCTTGACACCAATCCATATGATGCACTAAGGGCTGTGGAGAAGCAGCTATTAGCAGAATACTCAATAGCTTCTAGAAATGAAGAAATTTTTTTAAACAAAAATCAGGGGTTTTGTGGCTCAAGGAAGGAGATCAAAACATTGCCTTCTTCTTTAAAACAAGGAGGTCAAAACATTGCCTTATTCTTTAAAACTATGACAAGTAGAAGGAACAAAAAGAAAATCATTAATCTTAAGGCAGCAAATGACAATGGGGGGGATGTTGCTATTAAGGAGGAAGCTACAAAATTCTTTAGTCAGCTACTGTGTGGTAATATGGATACTTCTAATTCTGAAACAAGAAGAAACCTACTGGAATCCCTTCCTATGGTTGGGATCAATGAAGCTGCTCAGATGGTGAGTCAGGTTACAAATGAAGAGATTAAAGAAGTGCTTTTCTCGTTTGATGAAATGAAAGCTCCAGGCCCTAATGGATTCAATTCATATTTTTACAAGAAAGCTTGGCCTGTTGTGGGAAGGGAAGTGACTGCAGCTGTTAAGGAGTTCTTTAGGAACGACAGTCTTCTCAGAGAGATGAATGCCACTATCATTGCTCTTGTCCCAAAAAACCAAAACCCCTCAAAAATGGGTAACTTCAGGCCAATTTCATGTTGTAATGTCTTGTACAAAGTCATTTCGAAGATACTTGCAAATAGAATCAAATGTGTGCTCCCTGAAATTATTGGGCCCAATCAGGTAGCTCTCATTCCTAGGAGGAAGATCAGTGATAACATTCTCCTTACTCAGGAACTACTTTGGGATTATCACAAGCAAAAGGGGTCACCAAGATGCGCCATCAAAGTCAATATTATGAAGGCATGTGATACCATTAATTGAGGATTCTTACTAGAAATATTAGAGATATTTGGTATTCCTTATCAGATGAGGAAGTGGATCCAAACTTGCATCACTACACCTAGATTCTCCATTAACATAAATGGAGAGCTTGCTGGGTTTTTTCCTAGCTCCAAAGGCCTGCGACAAGGAGATTCGCTCTCTCCTAACTTATTTGTGATGGCAATGGAAGTTCTTAATGCTATCATCTGCAAAATGATCTCTTCTAACCCTTCCTTCAAGTGTCATTACAGGTGCAAGAAACTAAAGCTAACTTATTTAACTTTTGCAGATGACCTGTTCTTGTTCAGCTATGGAGATTTGAACTCTGTGAGCTATCTGAAGGATGCACTACTAAAATTCCAAGAAGTTTCTGATATGCAAGCTAACTCAGCAAAAAGAAACGTTTTTTTAGCATCTGTCCTTGAGGAAATTAGAAGTCAAATCATTATGATGGTAGGATTTCCAGAAAGCAGCTTTCCAATCAAGTATCTGGGGCTGCCTTTGGTGATAACTAGAGTTAAAGCCCTTCATTGTACGCCGTTAATTGAGAAGATTGAGTCAAGGGTTAGAAGTTGGACAAACAAGTTTCTATCTTTTGCGGGTAGACTACAATTTATTGAGTCAGTTCTTAACAACACCCAAATTTTCAGGGCTTCCAATTTATACCTCCCCTAGCAAATGGTTGACAAAATTGAGAAAATTATGAGAGCTTTCCTTTGGAATGGGTCAGAACAAAGGGCCTCAGAGCTAAAGTTGCTTGGGAAGATGTTTGCAAGCCAAAAGATGAAGGTGGATTGGGTATAAGAAAAATAAGGGACTGCAATAATGCTTATACGCTGAGATTCATATGGTTGTTATTCACTGACAAAGAAGGTTTGTGGCCAAGTGGATTCACTCTTATTATCTCAAAGGCAAAAGTCTTTGGGAGGTCAGGATTCCACAAAGGTGCTCATGAAATTGACTTAATTTGTTGAAGCTAAGAACAATTTGTAGAACCCAAATACTAAACAGCATTAGATATGAACAAAAACACTAGCCTTTGGCACGATAACTGGCATCCCTAGGGTTCCCTTCTGTTGAAATGGAGTAGTAATATAATTCAGAATTCAAAATTACCAAGGGATGCAAAGGTTAGCAGCATTGTAAGGAATAATCTGTGGCAATGGCCTCACACAGGAACTATTGAACTTCGGGAAATTGAACAAACCATGCCCACTTGCCAACTATGTCAACAAAGATGAGATGTTGTTAAATGGATTCCTGCCCCAAATGGCACTTTCTCCTCAACCTCTGCCTGGGATCTAGTGAGAGTTCATTCTCCTAAAGTGCCATGGGTTCATTTGGTGTGGTATAGCCAAGCTATTCCTAGGATGAGTTTTATTCTTTGGCAAGCCATTAGAACAAGGCTTTGCACAAAGGATAGAACTCAAGTTTATACAAACAATATGGGGATGGAATGTGTTCTATGTAGACAAGCAGATGAGACCCAATCTCATATATTTTTTGAATGTCATTTCTCAAGGGGCATATGGAGACAACTGCTTCAGCTCACTGGTGAGCAGGGACAACTTAACTCTTGGCAGCAACTGATAAGTCATGCGATCCAAAACTGAAAGGGCAAATCCATGGTGAGTGTATTGAGAAGACTTTGTTTGGCTGTCAATGTGTATTATATATGGAGGGAATGAAATAATAGAATCCATCAAAACCAAGTGAGAGACCACAAGTCCTTATCAAACCTCATTGTGTAGACAGTTTGGGACAGAATGTCTTCGGCCAAGTTCAAAACCTCTCAGTTGAACATGCGGTTATTTCAAATGTGGCAGTTGCCTAGCTCCTGCATAAGGTGACTTGTGCCTCTATGCTTTTAAAATTATTCTAACTGATGCCTTAGAAGCAAGATTCTCTTGAAAGTGCTAGCTCAAGGATGGCACTTTTCTCAGAATTTTGGATCTTGGTATCGGTATAGTCTTTTTTGGTGTTTTGTTTCCATGTTGTTGGAGCAGTAGGTGATGCCTACTTTTGATGGGGGGCATCGCTCTCTTATGTACATTTTTTTTACTCTTTTATCAATACATATCAGTTTACTTTTCAAAAAAAAAAAAAGTATGCTTGTTTAATTCTAATATTATTTAAAAATATTCATAATAGGTAACATGGTAAATTTCAATGACACTCCCCCCCCCCCCCTCCAAGGACCCCGTCACCCCGGACCCCCCCAAAGAGACGAAACTAAAGCTGAGCAGCCTTTGCCTATCAATAAAAACACTGCTTTGCTAAATCCAGCTGGACTTAATCACTCAAGCATTCAATGCTGCATTTAATCACAGACTAAGGGCATGGACAAAATTCTGAAATATTAATATGTATACGGATTAGAGTGAATTGTAAACTGGAAGAACAGAAATTGAGAACCAAACTAAAAATCGTATGATGCCACATTCTGTACAACATAACTAGCAGAATGAATAGACTCTTAACCTAATTTTTTCAAGAGTGAATGCATTAACAATCCAATGTTCATTGTGTCTCATCACCTAGAGGAACCCGAATCCGTCGGCATCTGGAAGCGGCACAGTGGACACAAATGACTCCTCTCCAGCCACTGAGCAATGCAATCGCCATGATAGACATGCGAACACGGCATGCATGTGGCTTCTTGCCCGACACAAAACTTTTCCAAACATATCATGCATTCTTCCATGGAACCCGAACCCTCCAGTCTGACCTTCTTCAGACCCTCGATGGACGATTTAGGGCAGGCACAGCCTTGAACATATCTAATTCCATGGATTCTTGGATTGCCCTATTCACAGCTTGAGTTTCATCATGTGCCTCGTACTCGATCAGAATATCGGCAAGAACTATGGGAATTGCACCACCACTACAGGTACTAGAAGCTGGATCTACACCCATGTCCAGATAGAAAGAGGCGATGGCGTTTAACATCTGATCCTGATCATTGATGGGGATTCCCACTGCTGAAAGACAAAAAGATAAGAAGACCCGAGCCGAGTCTTCGTGCAGTAGCATCTCATGTAACAGAGTAAAAGCCTGCGCGTATTCAGGAAGTTCTTGCACAACAGAATCGTTGATATATGCACGTCGACGAATGCGGATTTGGAGGCAAAGCGACTCGTATGGTGGCAGACGCCGAGTGCCTAGTGGAAGAGCATCCCTGTCCAGTTGCAATGAGTAGTGGTTTGGCATATTGATTCTTGAAGAAAGAAGATGAACTAAAGAGATTGCTGGTTGTGAGAGATTGGTGGGCTGAGAGAGATTGTTGATTCTTGAGAGATGGGTGAGGAATGTTAATGGAGAATGGTTTCGTGTGAAAGATGTTAAGAGCAGACTTTGTATTATAGATTGGAATACGCGTAGAGGACTACCAGTTGAAATGAAAGAGGTC